GTAGTAGTAGTAGAGAGAGAGAGAGAGAGAGAGAGAGAGAGAGAATGAAGAAGGAAGGCTTAGCTGTTATATGGGTAGAGAGAGAGATCTTGACCATTGGATGCAAAACCTACCATATGTGGCAAGAAGATAAACTCCAAAGCTTATAAAAGGGGGCTCATTAACCCATCGCTTCAGTTATTAATGCGCTTCATAGCAATAATCCTCTCTCCATATCTATTTTTCTCTCTCTACCAATTTGAATAAAGTTGTTATTTTCATTATTTTTTCAATTAAATTCAAGATTTAGATCAACGAACCACTTTCTCAATGGATGATTTACCAACTTTTCGGATGATCATGGTGATACCCTTTTAGTCGATGTGAGTCATCAGATCTCCTTGAGTGGAGTAGCAGATTGTCCAAGTCTTGTCGCTATGAAAAAAAATTGAAGCTCAATAGCGTGTGCTTGGCCTTGTGGAGTAATCAACATGTTGCTTTACTAAAAAAAATAATATGCAAAGGGAAAGATAAAAGTTTTGATCTTAGGGAGGGCTTTCACTAAGGGTGGCAATGGGTCGGGTCCGGCTGGACCCTGACCCAGACCTGAATGTATTCGGGTTTAGGTTTTGGACCCAGACCCTACCCATTGGGTCCAAAAGTTGGACCCATACCCATACCCGTCGGGTCTCGAGTCTGGTCAGGTCCATCGCCACCCTCACTGTGAGCTTCCTTTTTTATAGCTTACAATGGTAAAAAACAAAGAACTGATTTTTGAGGGGTGGGCGATTCGAGAGAGAGCGAGAGAGAGAGAGAGAGACATTCGAGATCCAGAGAGAGAGTTATGTCTCAAAGAAATTGAGAAAGTGAGAATTGCAGAGAGGGAGGATGGCGATGGGATTTGGCCATTTGGGGAACCAAGGAAGACCAAAAGTATTGAAACGATTTGAGGGTTGGGGCTTTGGCCTTTGGGTAAACTAAAAATTCAGGTTTGGGTACCTGTCGGGTCGGGTATAATAGGATCCGTATCCGGATCCGGGACTATCCGAGTATCCTTTATTGGATCCGGACCCTACCCGTGGGTCCAAAACTTGGACCCATACTTGGACCCGTGTCGGGTATACTCGGTGGGTATGGATCGAGTCTGAGTCCATTGCCACCCTTAGCTTGCACGCGTCTAGAGAGAGTCGTAGTTAATTAGCGCGTTGACTTCAAATCAAAAAAAGGTATCCTACCCAATAAGGTTTTCAAGAGAGAGGGAGGCAACAGAAGATAAAAGGAGTTGTAAGAGAGAGAGAAAGCACACAATGTTGCCCAATGGGAATTATGAGAGAGACAAGTACCAAAGAAAAGTCATATAAAGACAAAATTGAAGCAAAGGACAAACAAAAAAAAACTTATAGAAAGGAGAGAGAGGATAGAAGTATCAATGTCAAAACAGAGGACAAGTATTAACGTCAAACCAGTAAGGATCGAACTGGCATGGTGAGAAAAAAAACATTTTCCTTGCCTACTTAAGCTGTAGGTGTCAATAGTGTGACCCCTATGAACCCAAAGAAGATAGAGCCCCATAAAGAAAAGAACCCGCTCTGATACCAGTGTAGAAAAAATAATGAAAATAGCAACTTTATTCAAATTGGTAATGAGAGAAAAATAGATATGGAAAGAGGGATATTGTTGTGAAGCGTATGGATAACTGAAAAGATGAGCAGATAGCTCTGAGATTTACTGTGTGTTTTAATGGTTTAGTGAGCCCCCTTTTCATAAGCTTTGGAGCTTATCCCTTTACCACATATGGTAGGTTTTGCATCCAACGGTCAAGATCTCTGCCCATATCAACAGTTAAGCATTCCTTGTCCATTCTCTCTCTTTCTTTCCTTCCCTAAAGAAAATGTTTTGGTTCAATATGACTGTTAGAGCATTATTGATAGGTGGCTTAAAAAAGAAAGAGAATGACATTTACCAAAAAAGGTAGTCAAAGAATTTAAAGTAAATAAGACCATTATAGAAAGTAAATAGTAATATTATTAAATGTATTTAAAATAAAAGGAAAGAGAGGGACTATGAAATAAATGGTAGTCATGAGGCCTTTGTGGCCATACACCAACACCTACCATTTGGTTAAAAGGCCGAATGCGTTAATGTTGCTAAGCCACAAGGTTTTGCCTGTTGAAGGTTTTACCCAATGTGACATGGCTCGCTAGATTTGTCCATCTACAGGATTTAATCTTTTGTAGCATTCAAAGGTGCATCTCGGGAGGAAAATCTATATTTTTCTAATTCCCATCATGGTCACATGCTTGGAGAACATTTCAGCAGTCAATCCCTTAGTTAAAGGGTTTGCTATCATAGCATAAAAGGCAAATAACTTACTGCAATTTCTTTCTTTTACGCTTTGTGTGTCTTCTCTTGGATATAGTGATAATTAACTTCTATGTGTCTTCTCTTGGAGCTAATTGCTCCATTTTTAATTAGTGAAATTACAGCCTAGTTAGCATAAAATATCTGAACTGGCTCGTCGGTTATTTCCAGCTTCAAATCCCTAGTGAAGCAGCTTGTCCTGACTGCAAAAGTAGAAGCTATACTACAAGATATGTATTTTGCTTTCATTGCGCACCGGACAATACTTTCATGTTTCTTACTAAACCAAGAAACAAAACCTCCTCCATAGAGAAAAAGATTTCTAGAAGTGGATTTTC